AATACTTTTTGTTCTGTGGCACCAACAGTCATGTTCATCCTTTAAACCACAATAAAATGGAGAACTATGTTCTAGAGTAAACTTGATTGTAGGATGAATTTTATTGACATCATCCAGGAATGGTTATAATTTCTCAATAGAATCTGTTCAGATTCCAAAACAATCATCCAGAAATCTTTTCCAGGTCTTTTTATTTCAGAAAAGTTAATTGTCTATTTTTTATGTGTTGAATTAAAAAGGCTTTATTTAATACAAAAGTTTAATTTTCAAATAATTCAACGTGATAGGATAAAAGCTGGAAGCCTTTTTTGGTAAGAAGATAATATTTGAAATTGCGTGGCTTATATCCCGTGTTTGTTATTATGCCCCTCCCGCCACTGTAAGGTCTACAATGTATCCGATGGTTCCGGTCTCTGATTGGTTCAAATATTCCGTCCTTTTCTATCATTGGGGGAAAAGTTTCAGGTTTTCGGTAACATTGGCGTTTGTAATCTCAGGGCGGGAATACAGTAGGGAACCCTTTACATGATACATCTATCTATCCTGTATTGGATACAAGTATCTATCTATCCTGTATTAGATACAAGTATCTATCTAGCCTGCATTTGATACAAGTGTCTATCTATCCTGTATTGGATACAAGTATCTATCTATTCTGTATTTGAATACAAGTATCTATCTATCCTGTATTGGATACAAGTATCTATCTATCCTGTATTGAATACACGTATCTATCTATCCTGTATTGGATACAAGTATATATCTATCCTGTATTGAATACAAGTATCTGTCTATCCTGTATTGAATACAAGTATCTATCTATCCTGTATTGGATACAAGTATCTATCTATCCTGTATTGAATACAATTATCTATTTATCCTGTACTAGAAATTCAAGGCGCTTCGCGCCCTTCTTTCAAGCCTTAGAGGGCGCTTCGCGCCCATCTTCTAAATTAGTTGTGAACATGTTCTATTTGTGTACATCGTAAAACAAAACAAAAATAATTCGCGGATTTTTACAAAAAATGTCGCGGATTTTCAAAATTTTTAAAAATTTAATGACGATCGAATTTTGATAGAGACAAATATTTGAAATTTTGATTTTTCATAAACCTTCCCTGGGGTCCCTAGATGTCCCACAAAAAATTTGGGCCCGATCGGTTCAGCCGTTTTGACGTTTATTGGATACAAACAGACAGACAAACAAACAGACAGACAGACAAGCCAAATTTATATATAGATTGGATACAAGTATCTATCTATCCTGCATTGAATACAAGTATCTATTTATCCTGTATTGGATACAGGTATCTATCTATCCTGTATTGTATGCAAGTATCTATCTATCCTATATTGGATACAAGTATTTATCTATCCTGTATTGGATACAAGTATCTATTTATCCTGTATTGGATACAAGCATCTATCTATCCTGTATTGGACACAAGTATCTATCTATCCTGTATTGGATACAAGTATCTATCTATCCTGTATTGGATATAAGTATTTATCTATCCTGTATTGGATATAAGTATCTATCTATCCTGTATTGTATACAAGTATCTATCTATCCTGTATTGGATATAAGTATTTATCTATCCTGTATTGGATACAAGTATCTATTTATCCTGCACTGGATACAAGTATCTATCTATCCTGTATTGGATACAAGTATCTATCTAGCCTGTTTTGGATACATGTATCTATCTATACTGTATTGGATACAAGTATCTATCTATGCTGCATTAAATATAAGTATTTATCTATCCTTTATTGGATACAAGTATCCATCTATCCTGTACTGGACACAAGTATCTATCTACCCTGTATTGGATACAAGTATCTATCTATCCTGCATCGGCTACAAGTATTTATCTATCCTGTATTGGATACACAAGTACCTATATATCCCGTATTGGATACAAGTACCTATATATCCTGTATTGGATACAAGTATCTATCTATCCTGTATGGAATCTCTGTTTGGTTTGTTTGTGTATCCACCAATATCATATTCATAGCTCGAGAACCCCTTAACTGATTTGCCTCAAATTTTGATGGGGGAAGTCGGAAGAACAGTTGCGGAAAAATAGGTAAAATCGTAATTTAAAATCAAGCTTTGGTAAACGGCGGAAGTAATTATAAGTAACCTGGGCCACGCTGGGCACTTCAGCTAGTATGAATATAATCTTGTATCCCTGTGTTCCCATCCATTGAGACCAGACTATAATCCTTGAACAGTAAACTCTAAGGAAAAATATCATATTACAATTGAATACAATATATACTGTATACAGTACTCAATACACCGCACTTTTTTCAATAAATGCGCCCCAGGCGCTCACAATACAAGGGTTAAACATCAGGGGCGCACTTTCAGGGGGAAGAAGGGGGGGGGGGGCAGTCTTCGTTTCTTTTTCTATTCTGTTGTTAAGTTGTAAGATTTGAGAATTGTAATATATAATATCATGGATTCATTTTTTGGATAATTTTCAACATTTTTTGCTGTACTACATTTTCAAGAGCAGATGGAACATAAGTAGGGGGGGGGGGGGGGCTTTAGAGGTCGATAAAAGGATGATTTAAAGTGAGGATTCAGTGTAGGGTGGAAAAATAAAATGATATCTGAACCACTTCTCTTCAACTTTAGCCGGCGCAAAAGTGATTAAACTACGTCTACACAGTTCAGCTACTTCTCACTATTCACTAAATCTGGTTTCTGATAGTTTGTAATCTATTTATGTAGATAATCGTAATGGGTATTATTAAATGTGAAAAAGTTTTTGATCGAAAACAAATAAGAATAAGTAAAATCTTAGAAAAACTATTTCGCACGCATGATACCCATGATAGTTTTATTCAAATAGTTTTATTTTAAAATCTATTTGGTTTTATTATCGTAAAATAGTTTTATTTAATACATGTAATCAATTTTGTACAATTAATATAATCTCGATACGGAGATAATAAATCCTAGATCTCAAAAAAAATGTTACTCAACTTATTTCATTGCAGGTCGATAAACTTACTTTATCTCCCTGTTGTAGGGTGCTAAAACCACTTTATCGCCCTACAACGGGGAAATATTAAGTGTCAAAAGTTCCCTAAAATAAATAGAATATATCTACTTGAATCCGGTGTGTGGAAAACCTTTATCTTATTGCAGAATATTTACAAAGGAACTGAGTTTTTGCTACAAACTCTGATTTTCTAATCCCTATAAATCTGGAAGCTAATGCCGGAGACCTTTGATATTTCCAACTATGAATTCTGTTGGAATAAATAATCCAAGTTTGAAATATCTTAGGTTTACGCTATTAGGTTGAAAAGATATAGGAATTTGGAAATTTGAGTTTGTTGCAAAAACTCAACTTTTTTCATAAGATTTCTAACTTTCCACTTTTTTGTTTGTTTTTTTGTATACACAACACAAGACATTGGACGGTAGAATTACGAAAATAGAATATTGGATGGGTTGGGCGAGAAATTAAATAGAATATTGGATGGGTTGGGTGAGAAATCAAATAGAATATTGGATGGGTTGGGTGAGAAATCAAATAGAATATTGGATGGGTTGGGTGAGAAATTAAATGAAATATTGGATGGGTTGGGTGAGAAATTAAATGAAATATTGGATGGGTTGGGTGAGAAATTAAATGAAATATTGGATGGGTTGGGTGAGAAATCAAATAGAATATTGGATGGGTTGGGTGAGAAATTTGTTGAAAGAGGTTTGGGGAGGGAGTAAGCTGTCAGGGTTCAGGTTAGGTCACAGGGGTTGGGGAATTAGGGATTAAGAAAGTTACCTCCCCTAAATCCCCCCTGCAATACCCTCCCCACCCTCCTCAGTGTCTGTTAATAACTTGAAGTGTCAGAATCAAACTAATCTTATCTTGTTAATCCTCTAACAATTATACCATTCCAGTTTACTAGTTTACTTGCTTACAAGCTTACACCTCACTAGTTTACTAGTTTACTGGTTTACACCTCACTTGTTTATTACTAGCTTACTATCATATTTAACAGAAAATTATAATACAGTAATACTTTCTTAGTTTTTTCACTAGTTTACTAGAATGCAAACCTGTCATTATAAGAAAGTTGTAACTTTTTTCATAGAGTTATTATTAATAAACAATTTTTAATTTTATCACAGTTTCAATATAGGTATATAATTTTTGAGTTTTATTACATAATATTTGGCAAATTTTGTAAATAATTATAATTTCTAAATGTTAAACGGAAAAGAAGGGTTACCTAATAATAAATAAATTTTTTTTTTTATTCTATTCGTCTTTTGATACCTTTCTAGCGGTTGTTTAGTTCTAAAGTAATCAAGTCTAAACTGAAATTATAAAATTTTAAAATCCCTGTATGGTGTCAATTTATAGTTTGAAATATCTAAGGTCTACAACATCGGGTTACACATATATAGGGATTAGAAAATTAGAGTTTGTGGTGAAGACTTAATTCCTCTCTGCAAAGGATTTGAATTTTAGCCACAAACTCTGATTTTCCAATTCTTAAAACTTTGCAACCCATTTTCCAAGACCTTTGATATTTCAAACTATTAATTCTGTTAGATAAATAGTCTAAGTTTGAAATATCAAAGGTTTACTTTACAAGGTTGCAAAGATATAGGGGTTAGGAAATACGAGTTTATGGCAAAAACTCAATTCCTTTGTCCTTTGCAATAGTTTGAAATTATGCGTATTTGAAAACACTGGGAGTGGTATAACACGATAAAGTATAGAATATTCTAAGAATTTAGAAAATTTAGTTTGAGCTCAAAACTTTTGATTTTATAAATCTCAGGATCAAGCAGTTATCCAAATCTTTGTTAATCCGAAGGAATAAATTACTCCTCTTGGATATATTCCCATGACAAGAAGAAACTAAGATAATAGGACGAAGCTTAAAAGTTGTCACAGTTGATCTCGAGATTAAGCGTTGTAGATTAGCGCTATTTTACACAGACGTTTTGATCTCTGATTGTAGGGTTTCCAATAGGAATTCAATTGCGCGGAATTGCCGCGGAGATTTTTTCGAATTGCGAAGAACTCTGCGGAATGACAGTGCTCGCAATTGCAAGCAAGTAAATTCCATTTGCGTTGGAAACCCCAATTTAATGGCAGTAGTTGCAGAGCTTGTGGCATTTAGTTCTTCCATCCAACATACACTTACACCCTCCAGATGTATCACCTCGACCCTAAACATACAGTAGTCAGCGTATATATCAATACAGTGTCGGTTACTAAAATGGTGATATAATACAATTTCAGTACCTGATAAGTTATTGGTTTATACATAATACACCAACAAAATTATTGTGTACGCTTTTTACAGTTTTTTTGGATAACAAATTATTATTTTCTTATCACTGTATCTTTGCAGTAGACTTCTGAAATTCCAAACTATGAATTCTGAAAGATCAATCAGAGCAAGGTTGTAAAGATATAGGGATTAGAAAATTTGGTTTGTATTGAGTCTTAAGTTCTTTAATATTAAAAAGAAAATTTTAAACAAAATTATCTTTCCCCACAAGGGGGGAAAGTACTCTTTATTTTGAAATAAAAAATTACTTATTTGGCAGTCATCTAACTTTTGCTACTAAATAAGCGTTTTTTTGGTCAATCTAAGTGTTTTTTTTTCTAATTATTACTGCCAAATTTTGATTTCGAAATTTAGAACACTTACATTAGGTCCCCATCTGAGCTGCTTAGTTACCCAGCATATCTCTGTTCTACAGTATGTACACCGTACCCAGTCACATCCCCACTTCTTTAGTAGTAAAACCTAGAAAAGTAAGAGATTGAAACTTTTGAATAAACAAAACTAATGGAAATGGATTCAGATGTGTTTAGATCGTCCGTTCACTGCTTTATTTTATAATCTTTTGAACAATAAAAAAGAATAAACCTACAGCGTGTCCCACTAGTGTGTATGTAAATATATATGTATATATTTATATCGATATATTGAAATGCTAAAAAGAGAGATAATCAGAATACAGCGTGTCCCACTAGTGTGTATGTAAATATATATATATATATATTTATATCGATATATTGAAATGCTAAAAAGAGAGATAATCGCTAAATCAGGTTGACATATGACACTAGAATCTAGAAGGGTTGATTCAATTGGTGAGTACCGTCCAGGTTTTCCTCATGCAGTCTGTTTGTATACTGTACTGATTGCTCTAGCTGGCTAAACGTCGGGCCGGTACTTTAAATGAACCGGAGTTTACAGTGATAAATGCCCCAACTTATTTCAAAGACGACCTTTAATTCGAAACTAAATTCAAACCCCCGCCGCCTCTATGTTTTGCTGATAGAAATATCCCAAAATCCTTAAAATATCCAAAAATCCCTTTAAATATCTTTAAAAAACCCGTAAATCTAGTGTTTTTACCTGACAGCTGGGGCAGTATAAAGCTTCACCGGTTCCGATCAATCCCTAGACATAGTTTGATCAATTAATGACATCCATAGCTTAGAACTTTTAATTAGATCGAATGAGTTAAACGATTTCACATTGGTCCAATTTTCAAAGTTTAGTCCAGTAAGAGATAAGCTTATCTCTTCATGGCAAAGGAAAATATTTAACTAATTATACCAATTTAAAAATTCATATTTTGAGAAAATTAAAGATGACAAAATAGTTTTTAATCGATTCGGACTTTTTGCTCCCATCATTTAGGACAGTGACAAAAGTTTATTTTTCCGAATTTTGAAATCCTCAAAAAAAATATTTATTTTTCTAATTAGCTGCCGAGCAACAGTTCTAGTCTTTAATGTTTAAAATTGAATAGATTAAAACAAAAAATGGATAAATAAATTGATTCAAATTAAAATCTATTTTTAGATTTTTAATACAAATTCAAGTTAATCCCCTGTTTGGTCATTAGTGTGGTTTATAAACTAATTACTAAGAATTATAATTAAAAATTTCTAGTTTTGAAATCAATTCTTCAATTGTTTAGTTTAAGCAGAAAACTATTGAGAAGACATAATTAAACTTGTTTATCAGGATTAATGGTTTCTCTCAAGAGGGGGGGGTGATACAGGATACAGGATACAGGATACAGGATACAGGATACAGGATACAGGATACAGGATACAGGATACAGGATACAGGATACAAGGCACAAGATATATACGATGCATTGCAGGATAAGGATACATCAATGATACTTACATCTATCCATTGTTTAGTTTTCTTTGTGTTCTCATCATTTGCATCATTGAGAGTATATTGTTGATACTGCTTACAGTCCATATCATCATGTACTGCCTGAAATATAACAAACATTCAAAATGTTTACAAACATTTAAATTTTAAACAAACATTCAAAATATAAACAAACATCAAAATGTAAACAAACATTCAAAATGTAAACATACATTCAAAATGTAAACAAGCATTAAAAATGTAAACAAGCACTCAAAATGTAAACAAGCATTAAAAATGTAAACAAGCAATCAAAATGTAAACAAACATTCAAAATGTAAACATGCATTTAAAATGTAAACAAGCATTAAAAATGAAAACAAGCATTCAAAATGTAAACAAGAATTCAAAATGTAAACAATATTCAAAATACAAACAAACATTCAAAATGTAAACAATATTCAAAATGTTAACATACATTCAAAATGTAAACAATATTAAAAATATAAACAAAAATTCAAAATGTAAACAATATTCAAAATGTAAACATACATTCAAATTGTAAACAAGCATTCAAACTGTAAGCAAACATTCTAAATGTAAACAAACATTCAAAATTTAAACAATTATTCAAAATGTAAACAATATTCAAAATGTAAACATACATTCAAAATGTAAACAAACATTTAATATATAAACAAACATTAAAACTGTGAACAAACATTTAATATGTAAACAAACACTCAAAATGTTAACAAACATTTCAAATTGTAAACAAACATTCAAATTGTAAACAAACATTAAAATTGTAAACAAATATTAAAAATGTAAACAAACATTTGATATGTAAACAAACATTCAAATTGTAAACAACAATAGTTTTTTTTACAAACCTGGCAAGTTATACAGTTGCTTCGTTTACACAGAGGACACTTAAATACGTTCACGTTGTCGTCTAGAAATATAGAAAATATTATTATTATTATTTATTATTATTATTATTATCATTATTTACCAATTACTGTCCATCCAGCACAGTCTGGTGTTTTACAATGGAATGCCCCCTTTATATTTGCCTCAGCTTCCTTCACTGACTTCTTCTGATGCTTTTCGTAGACAGCAGGACTCACCAACTGTACATATTGTAAATAATAAATGTTTTCAGCAGTGTATATTGTACATGATAAGTGTTTTCAGTGGTTTATATTGCACATAATAATTGTTTTTAGGGGTGTACTGTATATTGTATACTGTACATATTGTACACAATAATTGTTTTCAGGGGTGTATCACTGTATATTGTATAATGTACATATTGCAAATGATAAGTGTTTTCAGGCGTGTATATTGTATAATGTACATATTGTACATAATAATTGTTTCCAGGGGTGTATATGGTATACTGTACATTAACTGTTTTTAGGTTGGAAATTTCATAAAGTATCGTAGAAAGACGCTACCAAGAATTTTCCTTTTGGTGTGCAAATTTCCATAAGGAAATAGAAAATGAAGCGAGAATATAGAATTAACCATATAAAAAAAATTCCCCAAAAAATTATCAATAAATACAGAATTGCCTTACCCTAGTGTTGAAACCCGGTTTATGGTACCGGGTTTTTATAACGATACCCTGTCTTAAGTTTTGGGCTCTGGGTGTAAACTGTATATATTTACAAGAGTAAATGGTTAAAGTTTAAAATATTGAAGGTTTACACCATCGGAATTTTTGGATAAGCGATCAGTTCCTGTATTATCAAATAAATATATTATAATAATATACTCTCCCCTCCCACCTTCCTAATTTGGTGAAAGTATATAAAAGTTTCATCTTTCTTATGTTCAAATAAGATATATATGTAATATATCTATTTCTACAACCGAACAAAGAACATTCTCGTCTAGCTGTAGAACTGTATTTCTTCACTTTCTTTCTTTTCTTTATTCTCCTTGATTTGAAATATACTAGGCATTCAGGGCGCTTCGAAACCCCTTTTCTGTAAAAAAGTTTAGCTTTTTTCTGTTTTTCTATATATATACATATAGATTTGACAGAGGATATAAGGTGGGAGTACAGACAAGTGAAGTATATATATATAGATTTGAGAGGATAAAGGTGGGAGTACAGACAAGTGAAGTATATATATATAGATTTGAGAGGATAAAGGTGGGAGTTCAGACAAGTGAAGTATATATATATATATATAGATTTGAGAGGATAAAGGTGGGAGTACAGAATATTTAAAATTTAATCAAATATGAATATTATTGCACAATTGAGTTGTTATATAGTTAGATTAGATTTAAAGAGACCACTTGCCACAAACTCAAATTTTCCAATACTTATATCTTTGAAATATAAAGAGTTTAGACCCACAGGTTGCACATTTAAATGAAATAAAAACTAGAGTTCGTAGCAAGTGTTAAGTCATTAAATTATTAATAAGTTCATTTTTATTTCAAGACTTTCTTGAGCACTTGGATTAAAATTCCCAGAATTAATTAATTTCCATTTTTCCACCACACTTTTATCCCAGATTTAAACTAATCATTATGTAGAAATTTCCAACTTGTTACAAATAAAACGTTGTAGAGATATAATATTTTAAACAGAATTTGTTTGTTTCTCCTAGAAAATAAATCTTCACAAATATACAAAAAAACAAACTCAGTTTCGTTCATACTATGTACGTTAAATATAGCTGTAGAGTCTAGATAATTAAAAACTAGATAAAAGAAAAAAGATGCGGTCGCGGATACCTTGTATTTAGTAAGTAAACGTCTGGACTAATGTTTTATTTTTATTTTTTACAAGCATGAGAACCCAGCGTTGCCAAGGGAACTCATTTAGTTTCACCGTTTACCCGCGCTTGATCTTAAATTACAATTTTAGCTATTTTTCTCATTAAAGAAACTTAGAACCTCAAAACCAAGCTAAGCACATTCCCGAGGTTCTCCCGAGTTCCCCATCTAGTTATGATCGGACATCCAAACAAAGAACAAACAGAGATTACTACTTTATACATACCGCTTTAATTTCTCTCTCTAGTAGATCCATATCACAGGAGTAGTTATCATCCTTGAAAGGACATTTAACCTTTGGAGAATCTGAGTGCTCTATTCCAGCTCCCAAACAAACTCTGATAATAAATATTTTAAGAAAGGAACTGATTATTCGACCAAACTCTATTTTTTTAATTGATATATCTTAGTAAACCTTAATCTTTGATCAAGCATTCATAGTTTGAAATATCAAAGTTAACCATCAGGTTATTAAGATATGTAAAATTAGAGTTGGAGATAAGTATTCGATTCTTTTACCTATACTAAACAAACCTTGTCAATGAATACTTTGAGAAAGAAACAAGTACTCGACCAAACTTACATTTTGAACTCTATGTCTTGGTAATTAGAGCTGAAAACTTTAAAATGAGATATCCTTAATCCCGATTACTTAATCTGAGTATCCAATGGACACACTTTTGATTTTCTTCTTAAACCGTTCTTTCTTGGATATAGTTGAGAAAAATAAAAAAACCGGTTTCTAAAAAAAGATAGTCCCTCCCATTTCTGTATTAAATCTTAAATGGCGCGCAAAGTTTCAAATTTATCGGCTTCATATATTCGACTCTGATTGGTTGAACTTTATACATTATTCAGGATACAAGTACAATATTAGGTTAGTCTTGATATTAAGAAAAAGAGAGGATCAAGCATTAATCTCGATATCCACCATTCTAAAGTTTTCAGCTCTGGTGTTGTAAACCTTCGATTTATCATAATTCACAGTTTAAAATATCAAAGGGCATTAGGTTATTGAGATATAGACAATTATAGTTTAAGTCAAGTACTGATTTTCTTTACTTACACCGTCTTAACCCAATCTTATCAGTCATGACTTAAAGGGACTGTTAAGATAAAAATGAAATGAGCATAAGCTGAAGCCTAAACATTTTAGGAGTTGATCAAGACCAACATTAGTTATATCTGATGTCACTGTCTTGAGAAAGAGATTCAAAACTGTGTTAAAGTTATACCAAATCTTATATTTATGTGATATGGTGTATACATCAAAGTTTTAAACAGATCATATTTAGTAAACACGGAAAAATCTAAAACTAGAACAAACCATAGGTGCTTAAGAATTTTAGATACGCTACTATTTTAATTCTAATTTAATTCTTATTCCTTTTTAATAGATATAATTGATAATATAATTGTTACGTCTGTATCACGTGACCAGAATTTCCATTAATGGCAGTGAAGTATCTCGTCATGGGGCACCATGTGTATCACATGATCATTTTTTACCAATGGCCGTTTAGTATCTGGACACATGGCTCTGTCGACCATATTACGTATATATTTATATCGCCTGGACCTAATTTGTCCAAGTTTTACCTAAGCCAGTCTGAAAGCCAGTTGTAAATCGGAAATTCTCTTTTAAAAGAAGGGTCTCTTGAAATTAAACTGAAAGTCCATTTAAACTAAATTTTCCTTCCTTACCTGCAAAAAGTATGCAAACACTCTCTAAGAACAACCCCATCTCCAGGTTCAATCTCTAGAAAGCAGATTACACATTCAAAAGTTTCGGCGTTAGGAATAATATCAAGGTTTTCCAGCTGTTTATACGCATCTAGTCCTCCAGTCTTAGCTGATTTTTCTCCTGGAGGATCTGCTTCTGGTAAATTGGCAGCTGGTTCTGGAGCAGCAGCTGCTCCTAGTTGAGCCGGTCGTTCAGTAGTACAAGCCTGGCATCCTGGTCTTTCTAGAGGGTTCTTTAGAGTACAGACAGGACACTCCCATTCAGCAATATTCTCCGGAACTTTCTGCGGAAATATTTCCGGAACATGATCTTCGTTCCGTTCCTTGTCATTAACTATGTCTTTTTCCGTTTCCTTGGCATTATCTTTCTTTTCCTCCACATCTTCGTAGTAATACTCCCATTCTCCATCCTCCTCCTTTCCTTTTTCATCCTTTTCTACATCCTTCTGCTCCCCTTTCTCCTTTTCCTTCTGCTTCTTCTCCTCCTTCTTATCCTTCTCCTCCTTCTTCATATTTTCTGTTTTCTCCATATCTTTAATCTCATCTGTTCTCTCTTCATCATCATCAGAATTACAGAAACTCCATCTTAAAAAGAGAAATTGTGTTTTTACAACAAACTCTTTTAAACCTGAGGCCGAATTTAATGAACTTGAGCCGCCTCGCTGAACCGCCAATCACCGGTTCAATTTCGCGCCGGCTCAAAACATTGATTGAAAATTTAAATTTGAACCAACCATGTTTAAACCGCGTCTCAGAATTCATAGAATTCTACGACATTGAGTTGGACAGATTTAAGAATTTGAAAATCAGAGTTTGTGGCAAAGACTCAATTGCTTTTTGGCGTAGAATTTTGGAATTCTAAGAATACACAGAAATATTATTTTTTACTGCAAACTAGAAAAAAAAGTATATTACAGGTAGAAGAGAAGGTATATTACAGGTACAAGAGAAGATATATTACAGGTACAAGAGAAGATATATTACAGGTACAAGAGAAGGTATATTACAGGTAGAAGAAAAGATATATTACAGGTACAAGAGAAGGTATATTACAGGTACAAGAGAAGGTATATTACAGGTACAAGAGAAGATATATTACAGGTACAAGTTTGTGACCTCTTCGCTCCGCTAGCTTTGATTTTACGCACAAGTATGAGAAAAGCTTTTTTATTAGAATTTTAAAACAATTTGAAAAGCAAAAGAAAAACTTTCAAATCAATAATTTTCTGCATCTTTACCTCTCCTCTTCATAGTTCCAATATCTTCCCTTTACAAAAGGTTGATTTGAGGGAGGTATCCTAAATCAAATAATGAAAAATCTTAAAATGCGTGAAGTTTCTTCAGATTAACAAAGCTTAATTTGTCTATACCTGTGATGAGGAGGAGAGTTCGTGACCGGAAGTTCTTGCTTTGCTGGCGCTTCCGGTTCCGGTTCCTTTTCCTCTGAACATTGAAATATTGGAGTAGGATTGTTTTATTTTGGAGTAGGATTGCATGGTTTGGTGTCTAGTAGGATTGGGTTAGTTTAGAGTAGGATTGGTTTAGTTTGAAGTAGGATTGGTTTAGCTTGAAGTAGGATCGGTTTGGTTTCTAGTAGGATTGGGTTAGTTTAGAGTAGGATTGGTTTAGTTTGGAGTAGGATTGGTTTAATTTGGAGTAGAATTGGTTTAGTTTGGAGAAGGATTGGTTTAGTTTGGAGAAGAATTGGTTTTGTTTGGAGTAGGAATGGCCTACTTTGAAGTAGGATTGGTTTAGTTTGGAGTAGGATTTGCTTAGTTTAAAGTAGGATTGGTTTAGTTTGGAGAAAAATAGGTTTAGTTTTGGTTGGAAATTGGTTTTAGTTTGGAGTAGGATTGCTTTAGTTTGGAGTAGAATAATATTTGTTTTAAGTAGGATTGGTTTTGTTTAGTTTGCGGTAGGATTTAGCTTGCGGTAAAATTTGTTTAGCTTGAAGTAGGATTGATATAGTTGGATTAGGACTGGTTTAGTCTGGAGTAGATTTGGTTTAGTTTGGAGTAGGATTGGTTTAGTTTGGAGTAGGATTGGTTCAGTTTGGAGCAGGATTGATATAGTTGGATTAGGACTGGTTTAGTCTGGAGTAGGCTTGGTTTAGTTTGGAGTAGGATTGATATAGTTGGATTAGGACTGGTTTAGTTTGGAGCAGGATTGATATAGTTGGATTAGGACTGGTTTAGTCTGGAGTAGGCTTGGTTTAGTTTGGAGTAGGATTGATATAGTTGGATTAGGACTGGTTTAGTCTGGAGTAGGCTTGGTTTAGTTTGGAGTAGGATTGGTTTAGTTTGGAGTAAGATTGGTTTTGTTTGGATTAAGACTGGTTTAGGTTAAAGTAGGATTGGAATAGGTTGGATTAAGACTGATTTAGTTTAGAGTAGGATTGGTTAAGTTTGAAGTAGAATTGGTTTGGTTTAGAGTAGGATTGGTTCAGTTTGGAGTAGGATTGATATAGTTGGATTAGGACTGGTTTAGTCTGGAGTAGGCTTGGTTTAGTTTGGAGTAGGATTGATATAGTTGGATTAGGACTGGTTTAGTCTGGAGTAGGCTTGGTTTAGTTTGGAGTAGGATTGATATAGTTGGATTAGGACTGGTTTAGTCTGGAGTAGGCTTGGTTTAGTTTGGAGTAGGATTAGTTTAGTTTGGAGTAAGATTGGTTTTGTTTGGATTAAGACTGGTTTAGGTTAAAGTAGGATTGGAATAGGTTGGATTAAGACTGATTTAGCTTAGAGTAGGATTGTTTTAATTTGGAGTAGGATTGGGTTAGTTTGGAGTAGGATTGGTTTAGTTTATAGTAGGATTGGTTTTGTGTAGAATAGGATTGGTTTTGAAATATTTAATTTTGTGACGATGTTGGGTAAAATCTATATTCCCATTTGTGTATTCAAATCCAGTATTTATGTTAATTTAAATATCTTTAAATATCCTTCTAAGTTGTAAAAGATAGATTAGATAGACAGAAATATATCCAAGTTGGAGAGGATAGATTGAATAGACAGGAATAGATCCAAATTGTAGAGAATAGATTGAATAGACAGGAATAGATCCAAGTTGTAGAGGAAAGATTGAATAGACAGGAATAGATCCAAGTTGTAGAGAATAGATTGAATAGACAGAAATAGATCCAAGTTGTAAATAAACGACTGAATAGACAAGAAGAGATCCGAATATTTAAAATTACACTTACACATATGTCAAATTTATAATCCCCCCACCCCTAGTAAGCTACACTCTAAGCTATAAACATAAGGATTTAAGTGAAACTATTCCTGGTACGATTAAGCCTTGATTTTACGCAGGTTTTAACATTAAAAAGTGTAAAGGTTAAATCTAATTACAAAAAAAAAAATTCAGAAAAATCTATAACGATTGCTATTTTTCTGTTTACAAGTTTGAAACCTAGAAAGAAAATAATTCAAATCATTTTAATCAAATTATAATGATATGTTTTTTGCCCCCCCCCCCTGTATTGCAACTGTAAAATATCCCCGGAATTTGATAAACTGGCAAAAATTCTCATAAAGGTTTCTAAGAGTATTCTTCACTCCTTCTAGATTCTATATCAAAGGAACTTTTTCAATCTAAAGAATTTCATTAAAAAAAGTTGGAAGATTCTGGTTTTAAAGTTGGATTGCGGGGACAAGGTATATATATCTTATATTCACATGGAGAATAGAATATATAGAGAGGAATTAAACGAATCTCTCGGTATGAATTTTTTCAGTTCCTTTCAGCCTGAAAGGGAGTTCAAAGTGTACAGATCATGTAAATGTTCACAAATTATATGCAGTAGAGTACATTAATACAGTATGTTCCCTAGACTATCCATTTTAATTTCGAATTTTTTAAACTGTTAAATAAACTTTATAATAAATTAGATGAATAAAAACATCATTTGATTTATAGTTATAACGGAAAATCATCGTTTGTAAAGTGGAAGGCATAGAGTCTATGTGAAATGATCATTGGTCAAGTATGAACCCAGCCTATTTCATAATTTGGTTTTCTTTTAACAATAATTTTAGATTTTCTATAAAATGATATTCCAGGGCCCAACAGGTTATATAGCATAAATATGTGAAGTACACCTGCAGTATGGAAACAGTACAACAAAATGGCCGTTTTACACTTTTTTCTAGTAAATTCCTCTCTATATGTTTTATTCTCTATGTATATTTAGGGCGGGCTCAGCCAATATTTATAAGTTTATATATCTTCTTGAGACGGAAGATATCAAAGAGATATTAAGATAAATACAACCAACAAGACACAGTTGCTGAAAAGAGAATATGTAACCAAATTGAAAAAGATAATAAACAAAGAAACTGAACTCATTCCAAATTTTTTATGCTTTATATATCTTTGCAACCTGATGTTGAATACCTTTGATATTTTAATTTTAAAACAAAGACTCGCTTTAAATTACAACGACATTCTCTTTAGCCTGATGGTTTGAGTCTTTTATATTTTAAACTTAGATTATTTGATCTAATAGAAATCATAGTTTGAATTATTTAAGGTCTACGACGTTGGGTTGCAAAAAAACTTTGGATTAGAAAATCAGAATTGGTGGCGAAGACTCGATTTCTTTGGGATTTCGTTAAACTTTTAGCTTTTCAATTCAATATGATGGTTTTAACTCCAAAATTCAAAAGTTTAAATAATATTTAGAAGTTATGCTAAGAATATTTTTATCGTAGATGAAAAAACGACAGAAAATTAATTTGCAGTACGGTAAGAGTGTTGAAAACATTCCTGGGACATCAAAGGTTTTACAATTACGGTTGGAATGCATACTGCAGATTGAAAATGATTTCTAAAATGAAGATTATTAAATTTTTCATTCATCATGAATTCTTTAAAGGAAAACCAAATATATTTATTAATAGGGTTCATGTCAGTTGTATAAAGAATGGGAAAACATATGTATGTCAACGTTTATGAACATCCCTATGCGTGTGTCAATGGTTATATGATCAAATTTATTTAAACTTAATAATATTTCCTTCAAATCAAAAATATGGGAAAATTGGTCATTTTTGTTAAATTAATACTCACCCCAGGGACCCAAATATTTTTTGACAGATTCTTTTTTATTTTCTTTGTATTTTTAAATAGATTTCCATGAACACCGTGAATGTTCTTAGCTAGGTGTTATAATTATAAGTTGAGTGTGTTGACTTTCAGAGACAAAACTTAGTTTCCTATTCTAGAAATTCGAACCTGGCAGAACAAGGTATAGATAGATCTTCTGGTTCTCCTTCTCTACTCCATGGGATGATATTGTCTGCGTATCCTCAATTACAAGGTTTCTACCCAGTATCCACCTCTGCACGGAGACAGGGATCTCAAACTCTCCTTCAATCTAGAAAACAAATAATAGCTGGAACATGATTTCGTGTTGCCAATTTCTTCAAGGTGGAAATTATCAACGGTTCTTTAGACGAATTTCGATCCCTCCAAAAAATTGATTACTCGCTCGCCACAAGCTCTACATTAATTAAACCCTTTATCTTTGCAACCTGATGGTACAAATGTTTAAACTTTTAACTTTGACAATTATATAATCAAGTTTAATTAAGGCGAGCTATACTTTTTTACAGTTCTTAATTTAAAAGGTTCATCACGTGAGACAATTGTTTATTTTGTAAAACATGAGATAAACCAGGAAGAGGAAGGAAGGATAAGCTCAATGTTTCAAACTAAAAGCTAAATTAAAACTACCTGGAGTTTAAAGTCTGATACTGAACAATTAGGGTTGATATCTACTATATCAAAACTACCTGGAGTTTAAAGTCTGCTACTGAAAAATCAGGGTTGATATCTACTATATTAAAACTACCTGGAGTTTAAGGTCTGCTACTGAATAATCAGGGTTTACATCTACTATATTAAAACTACCTGGAGATAAAGTCTGATACTGAGCAATTAGGGTTGATATCTACTATATCAAAACTACCTGGAGTTTAAATTCTGCTACTGAATAATCAGGGTTGATATCTACTATATTAAAACTACCTGGAGTTTAAAGTCTGATACTGAGCAATTAGGGTTGATATCTACTATATCAAAACTACCTGGAGTTTAAGGTCTGCTACTGATTAATAAGGGTTTATATCTACTATATTAAAACTACCTGAAGTTTAAAGTCTGCTACTGAATAATAAGGGTTGATATCAACTATATCAAAACTACCTGGAGTTTAAGGCCTGCTACTTCGAATAATAAGGGTTGATATCTACTATATTAAAACTACCTGGAGTTTAAAATCTGATACTGAGCAATTAGGGTTGATATCTACTATATCAAAACTACCTGGAGTTTAAGGTCTGCTACTGAATAATAAGGGTTGATATCTACTATATTAAAACTACCTGAAGTTTAAAGTCTGCTACTGAATAATAAGGGTTGATATCTACTATATTAAAACTACTTGGAGTTTAAAGTCTGCTACTGAATAATCAGGGTTGATATCTACTATATAAAAACTACCTGGAGTTTAAAGTCTGCTACTGAATAATCAGGGTTGATATCTACTATATTAAAACTACCTGGAGTTTAAGGTCTGCTACTGAATAATCAGGATTGATATCTTCTATATTAAAACTACCTGGAGTTTAAAGTCTGCTACTGAATAATCAGGATTGATATCTTCTATATTAAAACTACCTGGAGTTTAAAGTCTACTTCTGAATAATGAGAGTTGATATCTACTATATTAAAACTACCCGGAATTTAAAGTCTGTTACTAAATGAGATGGGTTGATATCTACTATATTAAAACTAGCTGGAGTTTGAGGGCTGCTACTGAATAATCAGGATCGACATCTATATAAAAACTACCTGGAGTTTAAAGTCTGCTAATGACTGAGAAGGGTGGATATCTTCTATATTGAAAGTACCTGGAGTTTAAGGTCTGCTACTGAATGAGCAGGGTTGATTTCTACTGAAATAGGACCCTGAGCAGAGACTGCATCCTCAACATACATCTGAACCCTTAAATATAACATGTTCAGAAATCATCCAAGACTCAAAAAGAGATTGTTTAAGTAGGCTTATGTGACCCTCCATTTATGGCGCATGTCTATTATTTTTAATCATGGTTTCTATATAAAGTGACTTGACAATGGTGAATATTTTAGAATTAAACAATATTAAAGCTGGAAAGACAGAAAACCTTTAAAGGGTACCTTTGTAAATTGGACATGATCCTCTTTGAACCGAGGGTCCCATGAAATTACAACTCTCTTTAAGATAATATAACAAAATAGACATAAAAGGCTTGGCATAGTTATCGTAAAGGTCAGATTAAATTGAAATCTATATTTTCTATATGCATCAAATGCCTTTTATAAGTCCTAGTTCAATTAATTTAAATGAAGTGAAAAACGCGAAAATACTTACTTGATGGTTTGTTTAGAAACTGGTTTATCACTTTCTTTGCTTTCCTTGCTTTCCTTGCTAATCTGTCTCTCTGCTCCAATTCTTTTCCTCTCTTCCTTCCCTAGTTTGCCTGTATCCTGGAGTAAAGGATCCGGTTGGGTTCCGCTCCGGTCCTCTTGTTCTACAAGCCTGGAGGAGATCTTGATCTTGGAAAGCTGCTTCGCTAGTGCAGCAGCGTATCTAAACAAACCCACTCTTTAAAAGACTGTCGAAGTTATAAACAATCTATTCAAGTCACTTAAATTTACAGCGTAAGTCCCTTTATTATTTGATTTTGTTGAGAGTTTTTATAGCCTTTTTAAACACAACACTTTTTGAGAACTAACCTATGATCGCCTCTTGATATGGCATCCTCTAGTCGCAGGAGAAGATCTTGTTGTTCCTCCTGTCCTCCTCCCCCTCCTCCTTGTCCTCCTCCAACCAGGAGAGATCGAACTCTCTCCCCATCATCCGTCTAGAATAATAAAAACAATTTTACGGTGAGAACCAAAAAACAATGGATTTTTGCCTCCCTTTTCTTTAAGTTATAAAAAGTCACTGAAGATCTTTTAACTTGAAACTAAATTATTTTTTAAAAAATTGCTCTAAGATCGAAAATTTTGTGTGGATATTGTTTTAATGCTTGATCTCGATACCCAAGGTGAGCACTTTTAAATTTGAGAATCAATACTTGATCCATCAATTAAAGTTATCCATGCAGGGTATGATTTATTCAGTTAATCAAAGAGATATTTTTATCCTTAGATAAATGTGCAGTTTATAGCAGGGAAGCTATTTCTCCCTCGCTGGATATAGAAACTAACTTGAAGTGCTAGAAGTGATGACCTAGCCAATGCAAGTAGACAGAATGTTTATCGCTGAGGCTGCAATTACAATTAAGTAAAATAAAAATGGCGCAAAGACAGCGACTCGTAAATATCTTTCAAAAGCAGCGTCATAAATGGACGGGCAAAGGGATGCAAGCAAAAGAGAAACTGCGGACGCGCAGATGGAGAAAGAAGAAAAAAGATGATTGATGAACAATTGAAATTATACACTATGCCTTGTACCATTTTATTTTACAAAGATTATAAAAACATTGCTAAGATCTGCATAAGATAAAGGTCAATTTTTAATCCCAAGATGTGTAACAAAAAAGTTCTGATTTAGGAACATATTAGAAATATATTGATGGAAGCGCAAATAAAAATTACAAAATCTGATTCTTCCAAATTTGCAATTATAGTCACAAATCATGCCTCAGAATGATTTAAAAATTTCGAGTCTATATATGAATGTAGCAGTAAATATTAATAAACTGACTTTTAGGGGACGATAACTTGAGTAAACGACTAAATTGTTTACTAGATGGTAAATATCAGAACTTGTAATTTATAACTTTTTTTTTCAAACCTGTTTAAATGAATTATCTGATGAAGATTTTCTAGTTTCAGAACGCGCTTCAAGGCGTACGTCGGGGCGCGCTTCAACTCTCATAACCTCCGAGCGCGGGGCCAAATGAGCTGTATTCTCATAGGAATCCTGTCTCAGAAATACGTCATCATGAAGACGACCTTCAAAAGATTCCTCCTGGAATAGAAGAGGTGAAAATAAAATAAAATAATACAGAGGTTTAGTCGTCTTCGATAAATGAATGAATTAAAAGTTGGTAAATAAATATTGAACTTAGTTGGATATTTATAATTAATACTTGTAAATTGGTATATCTGCTTTTTTGGTATGCATTAGTTAGAAATATGTATTTTAGTATAGAGTGAAAACTGTACATATTGTACTGCAGTATGAACAATTTGCACCGTCGCGTACAATGTACATATATTTTTAACATAGATTTCCTCAAGGACATATAGCGTAGAATGCTGTTAAAACGATGCATTCGTATATTTGTTACCTTTCCTTGACTTTCATTAACATTATTCTTTTTAAAACTTTTCAGATCTTCACTTTTGTCTAGCTTTTCAAAACCTTTCAGATCTGGCTCTTTTCTATCAGAACCTTTCCGGTCTGGTTCCTTCCTTTCAGAACTTTTCAGATTTGATTCTTTTCTATCAAAACCTGTCCGGTCTGGTTCCTTCCTTTCAGAACTTTTCAGACCTGGTTCTTTTCTATCAGAACCTTTCCGGTCTGGTTCCTTCCTTTCAGAACTTTTTAGATTTGGTTCTTTTCCATCAGAATCTTTCAGATTTAGTTCTGTTCTATCAGAATTTTTCCGGTGTTGTTCCTTTTTTTCAGAATCTTTCAGATTAGGCTCTTTTTTATCATAAAATTTCAACTTTTCAGAACTAGATTCTTTTCCCAGCTTTGGATGATGTCTGCACACATCATAGGTTTCAAATATCTCCGGTAGAATAAGATTGAAAGCTAAAGGTTTGGATTTCTGATTTGTCTCAAGTAAAGAACGTGAAGTGTAGAGAACACCATCTATGATTGATTTAGGTCGCTGCTCCGGTTCCAATGGAGGCTGGAGATCGAACCAGTCCGGGCGCAAGGGCATCTCTACAGGGACATAGTTGGAGACTAGTTCAGGAACTTTTTTCGTCCTGTTTTCAGAACTTTTCATTGGCTTTTTGTCCGAGTTTTTATCATCAGTAGTCTCTGAATTTTTCTTGCTCTTATTACTAGAACGAGAACTTAAAGAAGAGTCTTTTTCCAACGTTTTTGTTTCTAATTCAGTTTTCTTATTCTTGGTCCTAATTTCTGCCTTCTTAGATTTATTTTCTTTCACCGGAATTTCAGCTTGCTCCTCCTTGATGCTCACAAAATCATAATTATCTGAGAGTTCAGATGTGTTTGATTCATCAGAAGCAAACGAGGCTTGTTTTGGTAACTGTGTTCGTCTTGCATTTTTAGCATATTTATACACGGGCTCCGAGTAGAGGTGGTCAGAGTGGTTGACCGGTACAGGGTTCGGGGGAGGAATCTTGTAATAAGGTTCCTTCTCCCTACTCCCATCCCTTGATCTACCAAGGGTGGATTTCCGAGGGGTTGGGATAGGTTCAAGGCTAGCTCTAGGAGGAACCTTCCTTGGTTTATCAATCCTAGTTGACACTGTATACTCAACAGTGTTCTTTGCAGCCCGGGGAATCCGTCTTCGATCCTTCTGAATTGGATTGTCTTGGAAATTCTCGTAGGAATAACTTAAATGCGTAGGATCCGCTTTATAGGTCTGAGAATGGGATCTTGAAGACGACCTGGATATTTTTGGAGAAGCTTGAGGGGTGAGAAAATCTGAATCTGAAGAACTGGAAGAATACACAGATTTACTCTTAGAGGGAAATGTATTGAGCGGAGTAAGGATTTCATAAAGAGGTTCGGGAGTATAATCCTGGTAGCTCCGAGGTCTACTCTGAGTTCTACCATCAGTCTGAGAGTAGGTTTTGTTCCTGAACACATTAATATAATCATAAAACAGGAACTTGAGATTTCGAACATTAAGCTGCTAAATTGGAACATTTCCTAAATGGACAGTTCAAATACAGGACATTTATAAAGTAGGACATTTAATAGAAGACATTTCATTCAAAAGGACGAATCATAGTCATAAAAAAAATCTATAGAAAATTTTTCATAAATAAAGTAAACTATAACTAAACTAAGTAAACTATAAATGTCCTATATACAGTGGTTGACGTTTATAGCAATACAATGCCGACGACTTTTCGATTTAAGTTTTGATTTCTGAGAAGCTTATTTTTCAAATTACAAGTTTACAAAAGAATCTGTTTTTATCTATTTCTCTTTGTTTCCATGTTTATATGTGATCCAATATTCAAGTTCGTGGAAATCATAATTTAAATCTAAAGTCGTCTTCTTTGTACTGATATATTTAACGCGACGACGACAGCATGTCTTTCCTTTTTCTGTGAAGTGTCTTATCTATAATTATCCACAATCTTTTTTAAAAAGGAAATTTGTATTAGACCTGAATCTGTTTGGACGAAGAGGAGAGGCCAAGGGAGTTTGATCCTACCAGGAAGGATTTCAAATTTTTGGAAAGTTCTAAAATCTAAAATTCTAAAAGATGGTTTACAAAGACGACATCAATACAGAAACGGGAGGGACTCTCTAATATTGAAAAGTTGGTTTTCTGTACTATATCCAAAAAAGAGTGGATTATGGGTATCCGATTCTAAAGTTTCCAGCTCTAGGGATATAAATGATGTCTAGATTAAAGATATTTATGTGAGATTTGAAAACATAAAATGGAGTGGATAGAAAGCTATGATGGATTAGATTATATTTAAGTATCTGAAAGTACAGGGGTTCCATGATAAACGTTTTTTAAAGCTGTATTATCATCTTTTATAGTTTTTTTAGAATGGCAAAATAAGGATTATAGAACAAAGCTTTTGCCACAAAATCAAATTTTCTAATTTTATTATCTTTGAAACAAGATGCAAACTTTTCATATTTCAAACTAATAGAATTTGTAGTTTCAAATTTTCTAATTTTATTATCTTTGCAACAAGATGCAAACTTTTCATATTTCAAACTAATAGAATTTGTAGTTTTAAATGCCAAAAATCTACAACAAATTTCTATTTTCTGAAATGAACAAATCACTTGACCTAAACTATAATTTGAGTACCCCTATATCTTTGTGACTTGATGGTTTACACCTATATTATTTGATCTAGAGCAGAGTTCATTGCTTAAAATAGTGAATGTCAGATTATAAAGTCATATATATAAGGATTAGAAAATGAGTGGATTAATTAGTTCCGAATAGATAGGAGAATTTTGGAAGAATTTAATATATTGAGATAAATGAATAGATGATACGCTGTTTTAATTTATTTTTTTATGCTTTCTCTAAAATCTCACGTATATTAAAAAACTTTAAAACGACCCCCCCCCCCCTACCCCCTGTGAAAGTAATGAATAAGAAGAAAGGCAGGGAAAGGAAGTACGTAAAAACCTTGTCTCGTAATATATAGATCTACTCCAAACCTATGATAACTAGACCGGGGGAATATAAGGTATATGAAAAAGTAGGCAAAATATAACTCTAGACATAAAGTAATCAAAAAAAGATAAGACTTTAATGATGGCCTAAAACTCATCAAATGTGAAGATCTAAAGGCTGCATGGATTTTGTCTTATGCTTTGAACATATTCTTTGAATAAAAGCAAAGAAAGAATTATAAATTAAAAGTTACAGACTACCAAGAACATCAGAAAAAACTGAATAGATTTCGTATATTCATCTCCAAAGTCAGATCCTTTAAGAAGTGCTAGGATCCGATCTGAATCTGTTTGATCTGCAAAGGACCTAGATCCAGATGCCGCATCAAAATAAAATGGATCCTAAGCACTGCAGTTTGAGGGTAACACTGTATGATGGGTTTGTTTGGTAATTTTTTTATGTGAATGTAATCTCCTTATCAGTTCAATTCAATCCTAGCATAAAATATTCTATTGTCGATTTGGCCTATTTTTATATTAATTACAAAGCCTCCCCCTAAGACTTTTTTTAAAAAACAAATAAACCTTAATTATTTCAAACATTTCATGAGGAATTAAAATCCTTTCCTTAGGTATTTGATTTACAGGAGTCGTTTCTCTAGATGGGTTCGAGGTTCTGGAGCAAGGACGGGATGAGTTGGATATCCTTGATCCAGGTCTAGAGGATACATCCTTACTCCGGGTTCGTCTTGGAGGTTTAGGAATACTTTCTTTCTTACTGGACACAAACCCAAAGTCTTTTGAAAATTTTGGTTCAATTTTGTGGGATAAACTGAGTTTTCTAGAGACATCAGGGGTGATTGCACTGTAATTAGATTCAGAGATAATACTAGTTGATCCTATTCTTGCTAGATTGCTTTCTGTATACAGTATAGGAGATCTTACATAATCTCTGCTCATCTCAAACTGTGAGTAGTCGGAATCATAATCCGATATCTTGCTTTGTCTCCAGTCGGTATTTCTAGCTAGAAAGGAGTGTCTATTCTGTCCTTGTTGTTGGAAGTAGGATGAGTAGGAGGGAGTGTTGGATCTACTCTCAGATCTATGGAGTACCGGAGAGTAGGTCAGAGATGGAGTAGTGGATCTAGATCTAGTTTCAGGGGTGTAGGTTAGAGGAGGAGAGTTATATTTAACCAAAACTGGTATTCTTGAAGCCTGCTTTTCCTGCCCAGTATTTGCTCTAGATTGATTTAATGACTGATTTTTCTCTACATCTTTGTGTTTAGGCCAGATATTTGCTGTTACTGCTTGCTGCTGAACTGGTTTGATTGACTGAGTGGATAAGGAAGGAAGATCTGGTCTTGGTGGAGCACTTTGTTGTACACAGGAAGATCTGGTAGTACACTCTGGCTGGGGTGGTCCAGCAGGTCTAGGAGGCGTGACAGGCCGTGGTGGGGAAACTGGTTTGGCATAGTGAGGTTCTGATGATCGTTTGGCAGGTAGCTTTGGTATTTTCTCTGGAGTTGATAATTTTGGAACTTCTTTGGTTGTTATTTGTTCCCATTTATCTTTTGGGACAGAGGAGGTTTTATTGCTATTGGATACAGTTGACTGTTTTTTAGGAAGAATTATATTACTTGATTCCATGATTTTGTCTGGTCCATTGAAATACTCTAGTCTGGCCTGTCTCACATGTTGCTGATCCGTTCCAGAATATTTCCTAGAAATATTAGCACTTAAGAATTCAAGCTTGGGAACACTGGTACTGTTGGTTTCAGACACTTTTTTAATGTCTAATTTTTCAGATTCCTCAGATTTTCCTGTAAATTTAGGAGCTAACCTATCATCTTCTAGATTTTTAGTTGATTGAGTATCTGAATCATTACTTATTTTCCTATTTTTGGCCTCTTCAGAAAATGGCGCAGCAATGTTTGAGAATTTGTTGACACTGGTTTCAGGTTTCTTTGAATGATTAGAAAATGATGTTTTATTGTCGTTAGTTTTTGGCATTTTGAAATCTTGCTTTGATCCCTGTATTATTTTCTGACTGTTATCTGGTTTGTTTATTTTCCTGGTCAATAGGATACTCTCTGGATCAGAGATTTTTATAGGCGCTTGGTTAAGAAAGGATCTTGGAGTCTTAGTAAAATCAAAACTTCCTTTAAATGAGGATGATCTTTTTACTCCGGGCGAGCTCTTTATACTAGACTCAGGACCTGAGTTTGTTTCAATGATCTCTAATTTCTCCATCATCACATTTTTCTCCGTGTTTTCGTCACTGTCTGGTTTAATGGCAGTTCTGGGAAGACTAGAGGTCTGCTCTGCAAGTTCAAGTTTCTCCATGTGCTGCCTTTGCTTCAGCAGATTTAACTGAGCCTGCTCTAGTAACCTTTTTTGTTCTTTGATTATCTTTGATCTGGAGTTTTGGGGAGATTCACAATCAGTCATGTCAGATTCAATTACAGTTACATAGGGTTGAACTCCAGGCTTTTGTTGATTCTGCTTTGGGGTAAGCAAAGCGGACGGTTTAGTAAGTTGTGCTTGATTTTGTGAAATTCTTTCCAAAGTTCTTTGTAGAGGATTCTCAACTTTTGCTCCCATAGATTTGGTTGAGAAGCTTTGAGTTTTGGATATATTATTAAATTCTCCAGATCGCCGCCGGGACAAGGATGGAGTTTCTTGAGCCCTTGCTTCAATGGATGAGAAAAGAACTAGTTTATCTAGAACATGACCAACCCGTGGAGGAGCTTCCTCTGCCTCCTTGTCTAGATCACATTCTCGAATAGCTGATTGTTCCTTCAACATAGATTCTTCTACTCCTGCAGCTTCCAACCTTTTCCCTCCACACGCTTCACACCAGATCTGAGCTGAGTAATTTAATAGGGTACACCGGTTACAAGACCATCCATCCGCCTTCTCAACTGCTAATGGGGGTAAATAGGAAGGGAGAGGAGGGGGAAGGTTTGATTTAGGGAGATTTTCTAGGTATCGACTGTTTCTGTTGTCGTGCACTACACCTTTATTCCTCTCTTGGTCTCGAAAGAAAGCATTTCCTTCATGGGGTGTTGATTGAGATGAACTGTTTTCACTAACTTCCGGTATCATACTGATGTTGAGAGAGTTCCGGTTTCCGTTTCCATAACCCTAAAATATCAATTCTCAATGTTGTATTCAGATTATAAGTTGCAGGTCAGCAAGTCCAACATAAAAAGGGATTGCAGACTCAGTTATATTTTCATTGATGTTTTTCAAGAACCCCTGTAAATCTTAAGCTAAAGAAAATTTTTGCTCAATTGTGTCTCAAATAATGGTTGGGATGGTATTGTTGTACATCATTTTGCTATTTTTTAATCTTGTGTCTCTTAAAATTTCACATTTCACTTTAGAATAAACAACAAAATATATTATCATTGAGAAATTTTCCTTATTTAATGCTCCCGGTTTGGATTGCCAAATGCTATTGTTAGTTGATACTGGACTGCTCTTAGTACTATGTTGCCCTGGTTTACCCTGCATTGTACTGATCCCCGCTTTTTCTACAGGAGACTCTGTCCTAGCTAAGCTGATGGAATTTGTGCTGCCTTTGGTACCCTGAGAAGAGGAATTCTGAGAGGTTACTTGGGAATGATTAATAGAAACAGTGTTTGGCTTACTCTGGGAGCTGGATGTAAAACTACTTTTGCTATTGGGTTCGGAAAAAGAGTTGATCATTGGTTGGGACCCGGAGAAAGAACTGGCCTTGGGTTGAGAGTTGGAGAGTGAACTGATCTTACTACTTTGAGATCCGGGTAATGAGGCATTTCTCTTCTGTTGAGCTGGTGAGCTCATTGCCCTTCTAGTTGATGCAAGGAAACTATTTAGGTCGGATACAACACTGTCCATATTCACAACAGTTGTGTTCATTAGTTCATCTATCTTCTCAAGCCCTTCAGATTCACAGCCAACATTTGCAATCAATATTTCTTTTTTCTTATCTCTATTTATAAACTGATTTATATCTTGACTTGGGTGTTTGGAGTTGGAGAATGATTGCTTCCGGTCAAAGTCCAGCATTCTCCTGGACATATTCTCCATGATAGTGTCAATAACTGCCTGAGGTTCAGGTTCAGCTTCGTAAAACTTATCATTGGCTTCCTTCTTTTTCTTCGCAGCATCCTCTTCGTTCTTCTTCCTAGAGAGTTAAAGATAGTAGTTTGTCAAGTTTTTTAATACCAACAAATTTACAATCCTAATTTAAAATTAATATAATTTAAGGTCCCAATGAGTTTTAATTTCTAAATCTAAGGACAAGGGCGCATACATCTTTTAGATAAAAGATTAAAATAAACTTTCTAAGATTTTAACGAAATCTGATTAAAATATTGAATAAATCTGTGAGTTTCACTTCAGTAAACACAAAACCAATAGACAGTGCTTGAATACAGTAAAATCAAAATCAATTGTCAATTGGAAGAGGGCTGCTTGAACTTAAAAGGGGGTGGGGTCCATTCTATTTCTAGTTTTTAGAAATAAAAAAGCTACCTGATAATTTCGGCTGCCTGTCTGTCTAGATCACTGATTCCAGTTAACCCAGAAATCGGCCTAAGCAAGAAATATGCAAAATTATTATCTAAATTTTCTAAAAACAAAATCCCGAAAAATGGTTCAAATATTTAAAAAAAATTTGCCTAAGATAATGATTTTATTACCTTGATGTTGGGCGGTCTGGTTTGGGGGAGCTTGTTAAGAGTTTACTGCGCAAAAATTGTTTAGGGCTACGCGGCATTTCGTTTATATTCTCACGTGACATTCTGTACACAACGGCCATCTTGGAACACATCAAATCATTATCAAAGGGTACTAATGTAAATCAAACATGCCTCTCAACAAATGCATGGGAGGTCACTTGAACTCACGGTTTCTAATTAATTAATACATGAACACTGGAGGATAAAAAAGTTTTAGTTTCTCTTTAAACAATTTGGAAATAGATCGATTTTTGGGAATGAAAGGAGCTTAACATTTACACTAACAGTAAGAGAAGGCTTAAAGACAGTTAGGAAACAGTTAGGGAAGGTTTAAAGACAGTTAGGAAACAATTAGGAAAGGTTTAAAGACAGTTAGGAAACAGTTAGGAAAGGTTTAAAGACAGATAGGAAACAGTTAGGAAATGTTCAAATACAGTTATGAAACAGTTAGGAATCAGTAAGGGAAGATTTAAAGATAGTTAGGAAACAATTCGGAAATGTTAAATACAATTATGAAACAGTTAGGTAAGGTTTAAAGACAGTTGGGAAACAGTTAGGAAAGGTTTAAAGACAGTTAGGAAACAATTAGGAAAAGTTAAATACAGTTATGAAACAGTTAGGTAAGGTTTAAAGACAGTTATGAAACAGTTAGGTAAGGTTTAAAGACAGTTAGGAAATAGTTAGGTAAGGCTTAAAGACAGTTCGAAAAGATTTACAGACAGTTAGGAAAGGTTTAAAGACAGTTAGGAATCAATAAGGGAAGGTTTAAAGACAGTTAGGAAACAATTAGCAAAGGTTTGAAGACAGTTAGGAAACAGTTAGGAAAGGTTTAAAGACAGTTAGGAAACAGTTAGGAAAGGTTTAAAGACAAGTTAGGAAATAGTTAGGAAAGGTTTAAAGACAGTTAGGAAACAGTTAGGTAAGGTTTAAAGACAGTTAGGAAACAGTTAGGAAAGGTTTAAAGACAGTTAGGAAACAGTAAGGGAAGGTTTAAAGACAGTTAGGAAACAATTAGCAAAGGTTTAAAGACAGTTAGGAAACAGTTAGGAAAGGTTTAAAGACAGTTAGGAAACAGTTAGGAAAGGTTTAAAGACAGTTAGGAAACAGTAAGGTAAGGTTTAAAGACAGTTAGGAAACATTTAGTAAAGATCTGTCAGTAGTTGAACTTGAACTAAGCTTTTATAAAATGACAGGAATTCTCAGTGTGTCCTTAAGAATGCTTTCCTTGTGAAGTAAGAGTATTTTTCTTCAAAACTCTCCTGAACTTTTATGCTTTCTCTCCCGGGTTGAATCTCCGGCAGATTCTCAGGAGATTTATCTTTCTTCTCCTTCTTCTCTTTACTCTTCTTCTCCTGTGTGTCCCGGATACTTCTCTTATACCAGGGTTTAGGTGACATCGGAGCTTTCAGTAGATTATCCTTTGCTTCCTTCTCTTCAAATGGAAGGGTAGATAGATCAGATCTACTATCACGAGAGGATCTGAGAACTCCGTCCTCTAGAACCCAGGAATCATTCTCCGGGTTCATTTTTAAGCTGGGAGAGTTTGTGTCTAACTGAGAGGAGTTCAGGGACTTAAAGGACTGTAAAGACTTGTTTCTTTGGCTGGCAGACAATTCTAGATCTGTATCAACACCATTTATGTTTAGAGTTTCCAGGGAGAATGATGTTCTGGAAGACGGGATGATTGAGAAGGGGTTGGGCGGAGGAGGAGCAGGGTTCTTCTTCCTTGATCCACGTTTACTAGATGATTGAGATCCATCACTATAGATACTGCTGGGGGATTGTCTATCAATTACTCCGGGTGGGTCAGGAGCACGACGTTTTCCAATTGCATGATATATAGGTCTCTGATCTTCACTGTACAAGGATCCCCTAGGGGAAACGAACCCGCTGGAAAGAGAAGAGGCTACGTTGATGATATCTCCGCAAGGACTACAAGACTGAAGCCGAGCTGCGGGGTCAGCTGACTTTTTTGGCAGGAAATCAGGTTTGCTAACTGATTCTTTCTCCCGCACCGGGCCTGACTTTTTAATGCCAGATTCATAAACTTTAAAATCTCCGTTCTTTAAATCTAGACTTATATTTGTAATGAATGCTTCCTTCTCCTCTGGTTTAATTGTGATCGGATAAATGAGTTGTCCTGAATATTGTCTAGGTTTAATCCTCTGTTGTAAACTGCTACTGGAGCACACAGGTGAGATCTGGCCAGAGTTGACCGCACTTTCCTCCCAGCTGGTCTGATCTGAGCCTAAGAGCTTACCCCCCCGGTTCTCTATCCTGGTAGCTCCAGGGATCCCTCGGTTCGCTTTTCTACTGGTTTCTTTGCTCCCGGAGTTAGTTTTAAGGTTCAGAAAGGCTGGATAGGACGGATTCTCCTCAACAGTAATATCGGAGTCGGATCCTAGAATATGTATCAGTTCAAGAACATTCCTAACATTAATTAGCAGCGTAAGTAAATATGCTAGACAATGTCAAGGATATTTTAGCATTTAGCCTAGTAATACTCTGTTCTCATAGTATTTCATTTGACGTAGTATACTAGGGATAGTTTAGCATTTAACTTAGTTTACTAGGGATAGTTTAGTATTTAACCTAGTATACTCTGAGCTGAAAACTTTAGAATGGTGGATATCGAAATCAAAGCTTTTTCTTAAACTCAAGATTACGTATTGCTTGTTCTTCTCTTGTTATTAATCTTAAGATTAATTAACAGATCGGGATTAAGGATATTCCATTCTAAAGTTTTCAGCTCTGCTCTTATAATATCACAGGGATAGTTTACCATTTAACCAAGTATACTCTGCTCTTAAAATATTACAGGGATAGGTTAGTATTTAACCTAGTATACTCTTCTCCTATAATATTACAGGGATAGTTTAGCATTTAACCTTGTATACTCTACTCTTAAAATATTACAGGGATAGTTTAGCATTTAACCTAGTATACTCTTCTCCTATAATATTACAGGGATAGTTTAGCATTTAACCTAGTATACTCTTATCCTATAATATTACAGGGATATTTTAGCATTTAACCTAGTATACTCTTATCCTATAATATTACAGGGATAGTTTAGTATTTAACCTAGTATACTCTTATCCTATAATATTACAGGGATAGTTTAGTATTTAACCTAGTATACTCTTCTCTTATAATATTACAGGGATAATTTAGTATTTAACCTAGTATACTCTTCTCTTATAATATTACAGGGATAATTTAGTATTTAACCTAGTATACTCTTCTCTTATAATATTACAGGGATAGTTTAGCATTTAACCTAGTATACTCTTCTCCTATAATATTACAGGGATAGTTTAGCATTTAACTTAGTATACTCTTATCCTATAATATTACAGGGATAGTTTAGTATTTAACTTAGTATACTCTTCTCTTATAATATTACAGGGATAGTTTAGTATTTAACCTTGTATACTCTTATCCTATAATATTACAGGGATAGTTCAGTATTTAACCTAGTATACTCTTCTCCTATAATATTACAGGGATAGTTTAGCATTTAACCAAGTATACTCTACTCTTAAAATATTACAGGGATAGTTTAGTATTTAACTTAGTATACTCTTCTCCTATAATATTACAGGGATAGTTTAGTATTTAACCTAGTATACTCTTATCCTATAATATTACAGGGATAGTTTAGCATTTAACCTAGTATACTCTTATCCAATAATATTACAGGGATAGTTTAGCATTAAACCTAGAAATACTCAGTTCTTACAGTTTTAAAGGAGTTGTGTATGTTTGCAACAAAATCGGATTTTCTCATTTCTTTATCTTTGCAATCCAATGTTGCAAACCTTTGATATTTTAAACTATGAATTCTGTTAAATCAAATAATTTTAGTTTAAAATATCAAAGTTATACAATATGAGATTGCAAAGATTAACGGATTACTAAAAATGAGTTTCCTTGGCAATGGCTCAATTCCTTTGATCCTGTTTATTTCTAAAAATCTATTTCAGTGTGTATGCATAAATGATAGATTTAAGAAACTTGATTAACATATGCCACCCCCCCCCCCTTCCTTGCATACAAATCTGTCAGCATTAGCCCCCAATCCTTCATTCTGATATCTTAACCCTTCAACACCTCCACATTCCCCATATTCCCCCCACCCCCACATTCAAATATCCCAAACCCTTATTGCCAATAAAAATGTAATCCCTCTTTCCAGTTCTTAATTAGACCTCTCTCCTCTATATATAGACTTTTATTTTTGAAAATGCACCAGTTTAATCAGAAAAATCTGCGAAAATTTGAGAAATGGCGACTTTTAGAATTCTTATACTAAAATTGTTAATACTAAACACTAGTAAATTAATTATATATATATGTGTGTAAAATCTTTATCCCCCTTTTTCCAACATTTGTAATATTTCACTAATACATAAAATTTTGCTTTTATTTTACGTTTTTAAACTCATAACAGAGGGATTTGAATTTAAATTTAATTCAATCTCATAGATAAATTCGCAACCTTTGATATTTCAAACTTAGATTATTTGATCCAACGGAATTTATAGTTTCAAATATTGAAGGTTTGCGAAATCGGGTTCGAAGATATAGGGATTAGAACAGCAGAGTTTGAGGCAAAGACTCAATTCCTTTGCCTTAAACAACTCATTTAAAAGTTCAATTAACAATTCACAAAAGTACGTATCCTTTAATCCTAATCTGAAAAATTACTAGTTTTATAATTTGTCGAAATTTTTTCCAGGGAGATTCAATTTACCCTTTTTATTACAAGTCATAGCTAAAAAATCACAACATCTAATCCAAGATTGTTTTAAAAATTTGTTTTTGTACGATCTGTTCATTAATCAATTCATTCACCCTTCCGCCCCCCTCATCATCAGGTCTTACATAGGGGAATTTTGTGAACACTGATTTGAATATACAAGGTTAGTAAGTACAGGGGAGGGGGAAATGATTAAAATTCCTCTTGTGCACAATTATTTAAAATTCAACTTTAAATCCTGACTTTATAAAGGATTGGCTAGTGTATTGCTTTACTTTGTAGAATGTAAAATTTATCAAATTCAATTTATTCATTGAAGGAATTTATTTTTTGTCAGAAACTTAAATTTTCTAATCCATATATATTTGCAACCTGCTAGTGTAAACCTTTAATATTTCAAACTAAGATTATTTTTATTCATAGTTTAAAACTTGTTGGCATAGTCTCAATTATTTTATAAGTTTTACATATATTATTATTAATGCCAAAAGTTGAATGACAATGGAAAATAACTTGCCTACGCTCTGGTCTGCAATATACATTACGAGTCTTAAAAATCTAGCCATGTGTTAACAAGAATTCAGTAATAAGGTTTTTAACATAAAAAATCCTAAATGCTCATACAAAAAACTGCAAGAACTCTCTATTTTCTTAATTTAATTTTTTAAGGCACCCTTGAACATTTTTAGATGGCCAAATATTTTTTTATTTTTCTATCACGTCCTAAAAACCAAATGAATTGAGTCTTTGCCGCAAACTCTCATCTTATGATCTTTGCAACCCTATGCATGTATACCTTTGATTTTTAAAAGTATGAATTTTTTTAGATCAAAAGTGCACATTTGAAATATCAAAGGTTTGCACCAACGAGCTGTAAATACCTGAGTCAATATTCTTGAGCGGAGTCTGATCTAAGTCCAACCCAGAGCCAGGTTTAGGATTGAACTGACCGAAGGGAAGATGGTTGGATAGGTTTATATCCTCCTCCTCCGGCGGAGGGGGAGAATCACTGGGATAAAGATGGTATTTAGTCCGGAGTGTAAGTTCTTGATCTTTTTCCTTCGTCTGCTCAACCTGGTTCAGTCGGGCTCTAAACATTATAAATATTATAAAATAAAAAATAAAAGTTACAAAAAAACAGACCCCATGCATTTTGGAAAGTTGATGTGACCTACAACTTTTGTCTTACACGCTATGAGAGGAAACAACTGTGTGTCATAAATCTGTGATTACATCGCTTAACTCTGCTAAACCCTAGACGCAGGATACCTCGATGTTTTCAGGAATGGACAACATTCTCTGATTTAAGAAGCTAGAGATGAAAGAAAGGATGAAAAGTCAGATGAAAGGGATGAAAATTTGGATGATGGGATGAAAAATTGAATGATGGAGTGAAAAGTTGGATGATGGGATGAAAATTTGAATGATGGGATGACAAGTTAGATGATGGGATGACAAGTTGAGTGATGGGTTAAAAAGTTGGATGATTGGATGAAAAGTTGGATGATTGGATGAAAAATTGGATGATGGGATGACAAGTTGAATGATGGGATGAAAAGTTTGATAATTGGATGAACATTTGGATTTTACACGAAAAAAGAGTGGATGAAATAACCTGTAAGTATCTGGTCCACAATTAATACTGATTGCAATCTTTTTCTTTGGTTCAATATATCGTCCAACCTAAAAACAAAAAACGTATTTTCATGCAAAAATAAAATTCTGTTTGCCTCGCTTTAAAACAATATTTGCTTCTGCTTAAGGAAAAATTCGTTAGTACAGGTTACCTACAAATGATGAGACTGTAAAGACGATTCGAAAATTATGACGATCCCAAGGTTAAATTAAATACATATTCTGCTTTGAATATAGTTTTTTATAATGGCTAACTTAATGATTTGGCAAAGAAAGAAACAAGTTTAAAACAGAGGAAATCATGAATAAAAGGAAACAGTATAAATTTGACAGTGTAAAATTGTACATGTGCACTGTAATATTTAAACATTGTAAACTCACGCAGTGCAGTGTAAGTGTAAGTTATGTGTATAGTGTACATTGTATATTGTACAGTGTATAGTGTACAGTGTAGAGTAAACTGACCTTATAGTGCTGAACAGGTACAAAAGCAAAACTGCTGCTGGCACTTCCAGTACTCCAGATACTTTCTAGACTATACGCATACCAACCATTCAATCAATAAATCAATCAATCAATCAATTGGCCATTCAATCAATAAATCAATCAACCAATCCATCAATCAACCGTGCAACCAATAAATCAATTAACCTTCGGCCTTCCAGTACTCCAGACACCCTCTAGACTAGAAGCATAAATCAATAAATCAAACAACCAAACAATCAAACAAAAATCAATTAACATGACCAAAGAAAAAAATATTTTCCCTACTCCCTACTCCCTACTCCCTACTCCCTACTTCCTACTCCCTACTCCCTACTCTCTACTCCCTACTCCCTACTCCCTACTCCCTACTCCCTACTCCCTACTCCCTACTCCCTACTCCCTACTCCCTACTCCCTACTCCCTACTCCCTACTCCCTACTCCCTATGTTTACATGACTGCAACGCTTTAAAACGTGATAAACATTCATAAACACAAATAATACAATAATAAACATTAACAAACAGATTTTAATTTCAGCTCACTCAGATTGAAGATCAAGAAACCAAAGCTAAGTGTTCAAAAAGAACTGTCTTAGTAATTCCTTATTAAAAACTACCAAGAGAGTAGAGATATCGTTGATAAAAGAATTCTAAATGTTATAAAATCCTTGAAAGTGGCTCATAATAATGCATGCATGCAAGAAATAAAATCTACATTTATCCAGTTTAAGATGCAGTGATAACGAGAAAACTGTAAAAAAGAAAGACGACATGAAATCAATAATTAAGTCCAATTGATGTTGTTGCAAAAATCACTTATTAAGTGGGTTTGGTCTGTTTACATTGCACAATTTCTGTGTTTTATGATGATTGGACTATATCATAACTTGAGTCTAAAGTCAACTTCCTATTCCAGAGTTTTCAAGTTCTCACAGTAAGAAAAGATATGATTTCTCTCTTATATATCACTAAACCTTAATAATTTCTTAACTAGAGTTATTTTAAAAGATAAAAGAATGAAATGCTTGTATACGTTCCTGAGAGATCTAGGTTTAGGTTTAGAACTGCTGAAGAGCTGGTTTCGTCTCTCCAGGGGCGGAGAAAGGTCTGACTCCCTGCTCCGTCCATACTCCTCCTCCTCCTCCTCCTCCTCCTCCATCCTCTCCTTCTTGAACCACTTGAAGAAGTTTCCTACCTTGTTCTTGTTTTTCTTCTTCCAGGAGGAGTCCGTCTCGGAATCCTCCTGCGATAAACCCCGACTTCGCAGAGCAAACTTTCGCCTTTTTTATTTATTCCTTCAGGTTTAAAATCAAAATATCAACAACTAAAAATCTTTTTTATGATAATGATTATAATTTCGATGTACCGCAACTTTTTCAAAGATCAAAACAGAAATCTTCATTTTATACTAGTTCTTATAAAAAGTTCTTTTTAGGCGACTATACATACCTTTCCTACCCATTTTCGTAACCTTCGTTTACTACATAAATTAATCAGTGTTCTCAATTTTAAATCTATGTTTTAAAATCAATTGCTGTCAGTATCAATTATGAATGAGATATTAGTGTTGATAACTTTAAAAACTGATTATTTTCAATTGAGGGTTTTCGACTTCCGCAAATTCTACTGGAGAAAACAACAATGAAAAACTTTTCAAGCTAGAACTACGACAATATATTCTAAACTTTTAAAATTCGGTGATGGTGATGGACCAAACCTCTGTAGAGTAAAAAAGTAAGTGTTAGTTCCACATTTATTGAAAAAATATTTCGGTCTGGGTTGACCCTCGTCAGTTCTAACGATATAATAAACATCAAAATCGATAAAAAAAAATTAAAAAATGTAAAAAATCACAAGAAGATAAACAAACAGAAAAGATTATATTCAAAATAAAAATTTGGGCTGTCAAATGGACATAAGGGCACCGAACTCAGATTATGAGATGGAAAAAAGATAATTTGCAAATATTCACTTAAAAAAAATGTTTTAAAACAATTATTATTCCTTGAGATTGTTCTTCACAAAGATTAAAAACAAGCTGTGTAGATGTTTGAGTATAGAGTGGGGGTGGGAGGGGGGGTCGATCTAATTAACGAACTTTTGCATAAGTCTGAGGGGTGGGGAGCAGATAAAGCATTTAGGTGTACCGTTGTAAGTTGGACATTGCTATCAATACATGAAATTAAGCATACAGTCCCTTTCACAAAGGAAAAAACTGTCAATATCAAAAGTTTTATTGTTTAACCGTTTAACTGAGGTCTAAGTTATCCGCCTTAAATCTCCGTGCTAGAAAGCCTGCAGAAAGCATTATGCTTGAAATACCTTAAATGTGTGCACTTCAACAAAGGTCAAAGAATAAGGCAGGTTCAACGAAACAATAAGAAAAAAGGTATTGAGCTTTTTACGCAAACTAAAATTTTCTAATTACTAAATCTTTGCAACCTGAGGTGTAAACATTTGATATTTCAATCTTAGATCATTTTATTTAGCAGAATTTATACTTTAAAATATCTAAAGTCTACGACATTGGGCATGGGTTACAAAGATATAGGTACAGGGTTGCCAACAAGGGATAAAGGTTTAATACCGACCTAAAACTCTTCTATTTATTAGTCTTTTATAAGTGTACTAAATAAATTTCTTGAGCAAACAAGACGTTAACAACTTTTGATTCACACCCAGATGTCTGATGAATGAGATATCTATAAATTTCTATGTCAAAATTGATTATTTTCAATTCTAGTTTTCTGTTAAAGATAGAGGTTGATGGGTTTGTAAATCAGACGTGGCACTTTTTATGAAAACCTCATATCTTACATCTATAATTCTCAATTCGATTTGTCTAATGTCTCCATTCGAAATTTGTTTGGCCTCAACAATCCGAAAAAATATTAAAAATAAAGGAAAAATGCATATTTCAAAACTGATAAGATATGATAGAAGCTAGTTCCGACTTCAGGATTGAACATTCTTTAATCAGAAAATATTTTTAGATTTCTACAGAAACTCTCCAGACAGCCATAGATTAGATAGCTATAGTCATGCCAGATAAACATATACACACATATATATGGAAGGGAAAATTAGAAAAATTTCAGAAAAATAAAAAATAAATTTGGTTTGCTTTCAAACCTTTTTTGGGCCCTTGGACACTTTAAATTTTAATATTATTTGATAGTTTTGTCTTAAAAACATCAAATTATAGCGGAACTGAACGACAAACTTTTTATCTGTTTTGTTTTTATGCATCAATCTCTTAATTTACAAAAAGAAAAATCTGCTTTAAAATATTTTAGAATTTGAATTTAAAGTTTCAGTGTTTAATGATATTGATCTGTTGATTGTCGGGTATATTTTGATAGTCAAGATAAAAAATATTAATGATTTTAAATAAAATATTATGATGTTTCATAACATGGAATAAATAAAGTTATATACATATATCTGTAATTTGTATTTGTTAGTGTTCCAAAAACTTCTGGATAATTTAAATACTTTTATTTTGAATCACTTGTTATGGTCTGTACTGTACTGTACTGTACTGTACTGGTCTGTACTGTACTGTACTGTACTGTACTGTACTGTACTGTACTGTACTGAAATTTTTATGAAAATTGTAAGAAGAAACTGTACAAAAGTTGTAAAAACCATATTTTTAAGAAAATCTGAAGATGTTTGAACGAATAAATTCCTGAGTGATCCAAGATTCGGTGTTTTTCGTCCCAGCTCCGGGGTCATTGGCAGCTCGTCGGCAGCTTTTTTATCTACAAGATCACTTTTCTCTTTTTCAGAATCACTTTTTCCTCCGCCATATTCACTTTTCAATCTTTCAAACTGAGTTTTAATGTCCATAAGTTCGTGTTTTGTTCCGCCGAAACTTTTACTTTTTTGAACCGAATACATGACCGCTGACGGAGTGGTTCGCGTTGTATATTCACAGCTCATACTGGGGACATTTTAGAAAATATTGATGTTTTCATGATCAGATTTCACCGGGATCCTCTGAAGAGACATTTATAGTTTTTCTCTCAAAATACGTTTTTTAACATCATACCCCACCTTCCCACCATGATTTCTCCAAAACTAACCTTAAATCAACACATTTCTTTTAATAAATCAAAAATAATACAGAAAATTTAAACAAATGATTTTTTAAAATCTTTAAATCCTCATTTTAAGTATTTTAAAAAAATTCATCTTTTTTAAATTTAAAATTTAAAATTTAAAATAAAAAATCTCTGGAGAAACTTGCATAGAATTAAAAGATTTGATTATGAAATGTAGATAAATGTACATATATAACATTTTTCTGAGAATATCAAACTATAATTTTAAGATTGTTCATATGTAATCTATTATTTTTAGAAATTATAAACGGAAAACTTTTCATGATAATCTATTCGAATATAAAGTTCAAGAACTTAGAAGTGACTTGACACAATTGCGTTTTATTACAGTTCCTTGTTTTGCACAAAGCTTGCTTCAAACAAAGGATCCCTTAACTTAGCGCATATACTAGATGAATGCATCTGAACCTAGATTTATATTTCCGATTCAATTTCCATTCTTGAGTTTTATCCGTTCTTGATCCGATCCTATTCCATCCAGGATCTCTCATCCGCGTTTATCTCTCCCATTGTATCCTGATCAGCTGTTGTATCCAGAACAACTGTTGTATCCTGATCCGCTGTTGTATTCAGATTTATCAGCTGTTGTATCCTGATCAGTTATTGTATCCTGATCAGTTATTGTATCCTGATTAGCTGTTGTATCCTGATTTATCAGTTGTTATATCTTGAATAGCTGTTATATCCTGATGATTAAATGTTGTATCCTAATCAGCTGATCCTGATCAGTGCAGATCAGATGTAAGTTTGATATATAAAATCTCTTTTTGTCGATCTAGGTCTCGAGTCCTTCTCTTTAGATTCATTTATAGATGTTAATATTGAGTCTGTATTAGCTATATTTATACTGTTGTTTCACATGTTTTAACAGCACTGGGAGAAGAGTAAAAATTAAACGGGTTTCGGGAGACTTTTGTTATAAGAATCCATGAAACTTAAAACAATAATTTCGCGGATTTTTCAAATTTTAAAACGGAATTTAACTTTGTGCATGTTTAACTATTGCATTTGATTAACAATCTCTATCACTGACTGAACTAAATTTTACCCATTTTGTTTACAAATTACACGTCTCTAATTCCCAGGCATCGGCCTGTCTCGCTTTAAAGCAGTGGCTTGACTCCGAGTCCGACTAAAGCACTGATTTGACTCCGAGTGTAGAGCTGGACCTGAGCCAGAGATAACTCCGGCCTGCGCAACCTGATTCACCTCTACAACTAGTCATGGTAAACTTTGACAGTTTTCTTAACATATTTTTACTTTTACAGTTTAGAGGTTTTTTTTGTCGACGTTTAATGAGAGAGAAACGTTTTTAATTTAGCAAATTTTCTGAAATCTGGCCCCCACAGAGAGTTCATTTTATTTGAAAGGAGAAAACTCTCTCGGTTTTCTGCAGGAATTTATCTAGCGACCAAACAAGAATGAAATGCTATACTTTTTATTTAGATTAAACTTAAAAGATTATAAAATCTTTTCCAGGTTTAATAAAATATGGATCTAAAACGGAAATTATATTTATAAATGTACAATTATATTTTGTAATTTGTAGTATGATATATGTGAAAAAACTGTAAAACTTAAAAATTAATAATTTGTTCATCGCTTTTGCATAAATTGTTTCAACTCTTTCTACACCCTTTTCAACGTTAACTGCATGTTTTTTTCCCAACCCTTAAAACCTTTTAAGAATGTGAAAGCTACCGTCGTTAAACAAATGAACATTTCATTCATTCTTGATCATTGAAAGCTTTTAAGGGTACCGTTCTTAATCGGACATGCCACTAGATTAACAATGTACATTAAAATTACTGATCATATGGCTACAGCGCTCGGCCCCATAACCTAATCTAGCTTTTTAACCCAAATCAAAGACATCTATTATTTTTTGCATGATTTTTTGATAATGCACACTTAGATTTTCAAAAGTTGAATGCACCCCGTTCTCTAGCATAGTTTAAAGCAGCGTGTTTCTTATAGTGTTGTATTAGCTGTTGAGGAACATGTGGTTTAATTCTAAAATATCCTGCTTTTTGTTCTTTTTTAGCTCAGGGCAGGAGCCTTTATACACAGTGAAGATGAGGGGGGGGGATGGTGGGGGAGGTGATGAATATACATAATTTTAAAGACTTTGTTCTGATGATTTTTTCAGAGCTGAACTTTTTTGTAAACTCTAATTTTCTAATCCCAATTTCTTCCAAATTTCACTATTCGATCTAGCAGATTCATAATCTTAAAAATCTGTAACATCCGGTTACACAAATATTAGGAATTAAAGTATATAAAATTAGAGTTTGGTTTTATATAAACAATCTACTTCTTCTTGTTTTCTGAAAGAACTTGAAATATGTTTAAAACATTCAAACTTAAATTCAATATGTTAGAAATTTAAAATATCGATTCTCTTTTCATAAAAATATAAATCTAGTTTGATAATGATTTTTAAAACAGTAGAATATAAAAAGAATTCTGACTTTAACGTTTTAAGGCAGAAAATGCAAAGAATGTTTTTGTACACTCTTGTCTGTTCTTGCAAATCTAGAAAAATATTTGCAAAGGATTTCAAGAGTATTTAAGGGCAGCTTAAATTGCACCCCGCGACAGACAGGTTTCCCGACGATCTTGCACCCTCGTATGTAAAGCAATCCGACTAAAACAGTTTTGACGGCAACAGTTTTTACAATTTTTTTTAAATGAGTAAAAAGCATTTTTCTAAAATTAAGATTTAATCTTCTCTGTATGGAACCGGGGATATCGATGTAATTTGAAGATTTTCATGTTATGATGCACAACGGTACCCTTATCTGAGAAACTAGGAGTAAGATATCGTCGTTATTTAAAGTATTAAATGACAATTTCCTCCGTTGACTCGCAGGGGCCAATTGTGTAAAAAAATCACAATTCTAATTTGTCACTTTTCAGAAAGAAAAACAAAAATATATCTTCTTGACTTTAGCGCGGTCGAAATTTCTTAAAAATTAATTGTTATAACAGTACAAAATTAGTTTATTGTGAATTAGTTAAGTCCAGTCTTCGACATCTTTTCCGTTGTAGGTCTTCATTTTATACGATCTGGAATTTTGATAAATATTTAAATTTAATGAAATTTGATAATATTTGAAATTATATTTTTGTAACTAACCAAGGTTAAAAATGTATTTAGCATTTAGGGGATAATCAAGTGTAATTCAGTTTACTCAGCTATTAATTATGCAACCTGCATTTCATATCTTTATTTATACTTATTACCCCCCCCCCCCAATTTTATCTGAATACATACTAAGCCTGTACGTTGTACAATGGATCATATTATTTTTATACATTTAATTGTAGCTTCTTTTTTTATATCATTTTATTCTTAAAATTAGTAAAGCCTTTCTATGTCATTTACTTTTTTGTTTGTTGACAATTTACCCATTTTTCTTCTAATTTCATTTGATTTAACATCACCTCTTTTTGTCTTTCCTTATTTTGTCTTTCCTTCTTTTCTCCTTATACCTCCTTTTTCTTCTTTCCTTAGGTGTATTTTCTTTTCTCCGCCCATTTCATTTTTATTTGATTTATCTCTTCTACATTTTCACCGTTATCTTCCACATTAAGAAGATCGATTCGTGCTATTTGTCAGTACATGTCGTCTTACTTTAAACCATATTTTTTGTCACGTCTACATCTTCAAGCTTTATTGATTTTTATTCATATACTATATTATCATCTGTGGCACTTATTTCATATATTTAATAAAACTAGGTTTATCTGAAGCTTGTTGAATTGGTTTGAATGAAAATATAAAAATAAAACTAAATAAATCCTTGAGAACTTGTAAATGTCTATGTTTGATTTCTATTTCCTTTGTGTTGAGCTGGGTTTGCTTTAGCTCAACTCTGACAGTAGTAGAAAGGAAAACTGTAGAAACTATAATATTATAATGTCAAAAGATTAAAATCCCAGATTTTATAGATAGAATGGGAAATGCAAGAGTAGATGTTGCTCCAAAATTTAAATTATAATATCCATCTGGAAGTTCTCCAACCTACACAGTACAAATAGCATAAGGTTTTTTTAAAACTGGTATCACGAAATTAGGCAATACACTTTCATTGCAGGGTTTAAATGACGTACATTATTGATACAAACATAACAGACGTGAAACCCGTGTATGCTACACATTTCTAAAATCAAAACATGTTATTTTTCTACACTACCGAGTTATCCACAACGAATAAGACTTTATTGACGACCGGGAAATCTTTAAATAATATCGAACTGAAGGCAAATTTGGTCGTTTGTTTTACATAAAAGCTTTTGATGTGTACTTTTATATTAAAAGATTTGGCATAGGAATGAAGGTTCAAAATGGCGGGAAATCAAAAATGTAATAAAAACTGTTCAATTAATTTCCTATATTTTTATCTCTGAAGTTCTCTTTCTTTGTGGGTTCATGAATGTCTCTAGGTGTATTAATGTTAATTCAACATTTATGGAAGACGACATTTTAACTGTTCTCCCATCTCTAGGGTTGGCTGCTTATACTTACCATATCTGGCGGAATTATTTGACTGATTTTTCTTCCCCACTCCTTTCTTATCTCCGCCTGTTCACGCCCATCCAGGTTCCTGCCCCCCTCCCACCTTCCAAATGGTAGGCGTGGCTCCCTCCGCCCTTGCCAGATTGGCCCGCCCCCATCCGACCAATCACCTCTAAAAATTACAAACTATGAAAAACAAGCTAATCACAAATACAAATTTTATTGAGAATGTACGGAATATCTCAAAATTAATTCACTTTAATCTAATATACATATATGAGATTTAAAACTTTGTCATGTCCTGAAAGCGAGATGGAAAAAATGCACCAACATTTAAAAATCGAATTATTTAAAGTTTCTTCATCACAAATTGGAGTATATTAAAAACCCTGATACTGCACGAAGAAATAGGTTAACCTCTAGAGTTACGCTAATTTCTTAGAAAACAATTATGGTGATTATCCAGTACCCTCTACACGATTAACAAAACGCAAACTGAAAAAAAAACAGTAGTTGTCGTGTATATCAATATTATAACGACGACTTTCTATTTCAATTTTGATTTTTACCAAGTTTTCAAACTGCAGAAATACAAACATTTGAACAAAGAGAAGTTGTCAATTGTTAACTTCACAATTAATATAATCGCTGATCACTTTATCATCCCGGAGCTAGGTCGGAGTTTTTAGATTAATAATCCAATCAGAAACATACATGTGTTGGTCCACGGAAGAAGTCTATTTCTCGGAATCTGTAATTTACAGATTAAGCATAATTTTATCGCTTCAAATGAAAGTTACCGCTTTGAAAATTAAGTTGTTGAAGACAACTTTCTCATATCATAAAAAATGTTCCGAATTCTGTTTAAATATCTGGAATATTCAATTCAAAGTATACATTTATTTACCTATCCTGACAGTCCAGAGTCTCGAAGAAATGGTTTTGGTAGGTTGGTAGTTGATGGTTATTATGTACAGTTGGTAGATCATGACTACTATGCATGGCCGGATGCTGATGACTGGCATGTACGGTGGGTAGTTGATGATGTCCATGTACAGATGGTGCATGTACAGGTTGATGGTTCGTATTCATGTACAGGGGAGTTCTATCTGATCTACTGCTAGATCTACTAGTACTACGCATATCTCTATCCTGTCCTAAACAAAACAAAGACAAATATTTATAATTTATTAATTTTATTTAATATTATGGTTTTTTTTGAGAACTATATTTTTTCCTTGCTTTACCAAATCATTTAGCAAAAGACTTTATATAAAGAAGACAAAATTCAAAGTTTAAGGCTTTACATTAAACTTAAACTTCAAGTGAACCTCTAATATAGATAAAAGGTTTATCTGATTAAGTATGAATTACATATTAATGTTTATAATTTTGAATAATTATTATTTTCAACTGTGGTTTTTCAGCGAAAAACGACAACATCTTCCACACTATTGATCATACAAAATGTGTAAGGGTACCGTTGTGAATCGGGCATTTATATCCTTGCATTTAAAAAAAGTTTTAGAAAAATGAATCTTACTTGCTAGTATTGAGAAGAACTCTTCCTCCTTGATGATCTCGGATACAGGGATAAACCTGCCGTGGTTCTGGTGACAGGAGAATAGACGTCGAGATTTATAGGTTCCATTACAGGTTCCTAGAATCTGGGGTTCATCCTAGACAAGGTTTATAGGTTCCATTACAGGTTCTTTAAATCTGGGGTTTATCCTAGACAAGGTTTATAGATTCCATTACAGGTTCCTAGAATCTAAGGTTCATCCTATGACAAGGTTTATAGGTTCCATTATAACAAACTCATAACAACATTTTTCTCACAATTATTTATTGGAACTCACAAATCTGAAGGTTGAATTGTATTGAAAAACAGATCAAATTAAATTGAATTTTGATTATATATGACTATCAACCAACCCCGGAGATTATCAACCGTCCCTGGAGAATATTAACTGACCCCGGAGATTATCAACCCACCCGGAGATTTTTAAAAACCCTGAAGATTATCAACCGACCCTGGAGAATATTATCTAACCCGGAGATTATAAACCAACCTCGCAGACCATTAAGATTAACCGTCCCTGAGATTATGAACCGACCGTGAAGATTATTAACCGTACCGGAGATTATTAACCGACTGTGAAGATTATTATCCGACCCCGGAGATTATGAACTGATTGTGAAGATTATTATCCGACCCCGGAGATTATGAACCGACCGTGAAGATTATTAACCGTACTGGAGATTATGAACCGACCGTGAAGATTATTATCCGACCCCAAAGATTATGAACCGACTGTCCAGTAAGGAGAGAT